TCACTACACAACCTCCGCTGTCCTTCATATAGAGATGAGAACGTTCCACTACTTGGTGGCATACTCTATAAACTTTGGTACGATTGACAAGCTCCATTTTTCAGAGTAAATCCAAACGATTAAAAGAAGATGAGAGATTGCGTGGCTTGGAAAGTAAGCTGAGAGATGAAGAAAAGCGACAAGCAGAGCATGTAGCAGGATACGGGCTTGGTTCAATAGCGTCAAGGACGACCTTTTCGAAGCTGGACGTGAGTTTTTCATTACCTTGCTCTTTGTAACCTAGGAGTAGTAATAATAGTGAGCGAGTTATCGACTTAATGGCTTGATTTGAAGCTCAAACTTGAGGATAACTGAAGATCGTGATGATCAGTCTGCCTCCCTTTCCTCCCGCATGCTTTGAATTATTCCAATTCTAAATTAGTTCCAAAAATGGGAAGCGCTAGTTCGGAGAAAGAGACTGTATAGATGTATAGACGCAATTACTGTATAGATGTATCCTTTCAATGTGTGAGGTGACCAGGTCCAGTACTGTGGAGTCCCGCCGTGGTCGAAGGCAAGTAGCCGAACAACGTTTATTAGTCGACATGGCTGACATTGAATGAGACCTACCATCCCAGTGTCTATATGGGCAACATGAAGTACGGTACTAAGTGACCACGCCACGGTAACATACGCCACACGGTCAGTCACACCCCTGACTGTAGTCACATGGCCCCCTCGCTATGATCACAGCTGTTCATATGGCTCGGCTGTTTGTGGGTGTCGCGCATCGAATGGCGGACGGAGACGAATGGTAATGGAACATTGGGCTATCGCAAGTCTCTAGCTTCATTACCACGTTTTTAACACTACCTTTTGTCTCACCATTTGTAAAAGAAACACGAGCTTTGCGATTGTTAAGAAAACGATTTTCTTCAATTTTCAGGTGTACAACAAACTAGTTCTTTCATACAAACCTGTATATTACCGCGTGTGCTCTTCTCAGAATCTGATGCGGTCAGTCTTTTCATCCATTTCTTGCGAAGGACACAGAATCGTGAAGGGTTTTTATAGATCTATTCGGCGAAATTGATAATTATTCTACATCAGCAACGGATCACTCTTTTCCAATCATTGGTGTTCATTGATAAAGTAAGTAACTCCTGGAGAGCAGTTCTTGAGCAATTTTTCTTTTCGAAAGATCGCTTTTGTATCCATGCGCATTTGTTCAGCTTTTCATCGATGTCCTGCCACTCATATGTGCCTTAACAGAAAACGAAGCGAATGCCATAGGCACATTTCTACAGATACTCCTGTGTCATGCTCAACGGTGGCACTCAGACAGTGCAATTTTCGAGAAGGTTTGGGTCTCATGATGAAGTCTGACTTCTTGGAAAGACATGATTGAAGGAATGTGATGGGTTCCCCGGCTTGATATCGAAGACGCGGCAGGACAAAACAACGGAGAGCGTCAACTACGAAAGTTTCCGGCGATTGTGCTTCAAATGGCAGGTCAAAAAATTTGAAATCGAGATAATTGATTCGCGACAGCCACTAGACAACTCGTAAGGGTGATCATTTCAGATGCGGCTATATACGGCCTTCAACTCGGTACTTTCAGTGGAAAACAACGAGTATGTGCAAGTACGGAATTGCTTAGTGGTAATGACCAAGGTGACAAATTTTCAGCATTTTTGCTAAAGCCAATATATCGCCGAGTCTTACTGTTGTCAGTCAGATACTCATTGCAGCTCGCTCCATGCTTCCCACTTTTGAAGGACGTGGTGGAAAATGTCGAGAAATTGGCTGAGAAAGTAAGTTTCAGTGGCCTTGAAAGTCCTAGATGAAGTGATTTTTGATTTGTTAACCTCAGGTTCGAGATACGGAGAAGGGAAAACGTGATGAGCTATCTCTAAAAGCTGCAAGCTATCTGGTTCGATTGAAAATGCGAAATATTCCAATTTATGAAGCTTCTCAATTCCACGTGAGCTTCTTACATTTCTTCATAGTTCTTACATCCTCTTCATAGTTTGATGTTCTCTGTAAAGATATTACACACAACTTCGTATGGAGTTGTAATGAGCGAGGCCAAAGATCCTGTGGGCAGATACTTCAGCTCCAGATATCCAGAATAATGTACCCTAATCATTGTGTACTTATAAAAATTACGGTTTATATTTCAGCGTCCTTTGCTAAAACATCCTGTGAAACAGAACTCGGTATTGGAACGCAAGCGAGTTGCACCGGTAATACACTTTTTGTGTACTTCATGTCTCCACTTTTGTACTTCAATGTCTTGTTGATTTTTTTCTTCAAAAGCATCGTCTGCCTCAGAGTGTTCCAATCATTTTTACATCTGCTGGTAGGGTAATGCTGGTATATAATAATCACTTCGGCTAAAACAGTGAAAACATTAAGATCAGCTTTGTATTATGATAACTGCTGTTTTACGCCGCAGTACGCGTTCCGAAAGTTATCACAAGAATGCTGAGTTGTGGGCAAAAGTCGTGCCCCAGGCGGGAGTCGAACCCGCACCTGCCCGGAAAGCGTGAGGTGCGGGTTCGACTCCCGCCTGGGGCACGACTTTTGCCCACAACTCAGCATTCTTGTGATAATTAAGATCAGCTTAATTTCAAGCGAATATGACGTTTTCTGAGTGGCGTTCGTTTGATCATCAGCTTTTTATAAATTAACTACTTATTTACTGGACTATGCGTGCGCTACAACTAACGTGACACAGCAACAGTGCTAGGAACATACCAAACCAAAATCTAAAATAAAAAGTGAGGAAAATTCCGAAATGAAAATCAGTTAAAAGTCTTAGAAAAATTGCCGGAAATTTTCAAAAGGTTGCAGAGTAGTAGCGAAGGGAGTGCTGAATGGGTAGCGAAGGGACCTTGCGGCTAATTGCACGACGATTTTGGTTTACCTGTTGCCGCACATATAGTGCTAGGAAGGAAAGGTTGCAAAGATCGGGAAGACTGCCGCAGCGTGAGGAAATTTGAATTGGAATTGTCATGGCGAATGAAAACAATTTGGCAGGCCAAACAACATAAGAGGAAACCGTGCTGGAGCAGTTTCATGGAAGTGTGTACACTTATCCCAACTCCTATGGGTAGTTGCCGATTCAAAATCGCAGCGCGGCATGTAGCAGAATCTTACTGCCTCTCCCTAGCTCTAGAGGTTAGAGGAATCGCCGTTCCGTGAACGCTGTGTTGTATCAAAGTTGTGCGCAGCCTCCACCTTACATGCATAGATCACATTTGTGAGGTAAAAAGTCACACATGAATAATAATAAGGGTACATCACAGGGGGAAAATATCGGTATGGCCACCAGATGGAAGGCGGGAGAAGGGGTTGAATACCTCTATGAAGCATCAGAAGCACTAGCACTTTCGCCGCGCCGCCCACCGGAATAGAGGCGGTGTACATTGCGCGTAAAGCGAGAAAAAAAAACAATAAAATCAGGAAACAAGTTTTTTTTTCGTCACCAAATACGAAAGCCTTCCCCTCTCCCCCCGCTCCCTTTAAAGCGACCAAATACGACCTTCTGATAGAATTCGCCCAACGACAGTTTGCGCTGAAATGGTTATGAGGCTCTACGTAGCCCTGATGGGAGAGATTGAAGTGGGCGGTGTTGATAAACCTCTAGCGAATGCGCCACGCATCCGACTTCCGTGCAGGATGAGAGCAATGGTACACACGTCTGAAAGCGTGTCTGAGTCAGACGACGAATGGAGGTGAATGGCTGCGTAGATTCTGTTCTTGGCGAGCTTGAAAACCTCAAGTTTTTGAGGAAAGGCAGGAAAGCTTTCAGAAAAGGCTAGAAACCGATTTTTGTGCTCTTTCTTACACCTTTGTGAAAAGATGAAAAGATCCAGGCCCGAGGACATGTTTTGTGCTAAAAAGTAAAAAGCGTTTGCAATTTCAAAGCGTTCCTCACTTGATAATCATCTTTTGTTGTGGCGTGTTCCTCCTCTCGATACGGCTGTATTTCAGGCTCCTGGTGTTGATGCAAAGAAGAAGCTAAAAGTGGAGAAGCCGAAGAGTGTAGAACGAAAAGAACCCGAGAAGAAGGAACCGCCGAAAGAGGAAAAAAGGGAAAAGAAGGAAGAGCCGGCGGTGCTGAAGGAGGTGAAAAAAGAAACTGTCGAGCGTGAGGAGGGCGAAGTCCCGCCAAGTCCGCCTCACAAAAAGGTATATTAATGGACTAGAAGTTTACCATGCACTGGCTTACCCTGTTTCACGATGGAGGCTAACACTGCATTTTTAATGTGCATTTTGGTTGCTTTTAGCCTCGTGCCCAATCCGTTGAAAAATCACCTTCCAATGGCGGGTCGAAAGAGCGAAAGGAAACGACTGCTACTGCTGTGAAGGCGGTGAAGGAGGAGAAAAAAGAGTTCAAAGAGCCGAAAGAGAAACGAGAAGAGGAAAAGAAAGAAATGCGGACGAGACGGGACGCAACACCATCGAGGAAAGAGGAGCCCGCCAGAGAGCTGGACAGGCGGAAGGAAAGAGGTCTTGACGACGAGGAAGTAGTCGGACCAGCGGTGAGTATGAAAACTAGAGCAACTTTAGCCTTTGACCTCTGCTTTATTTGTTGATCTAATACTGAGGAGTTTTTAACATATTTCAGAAAGTAAGCGAACTGCCCTTCTTTGAATGAAGTGTCCAACGAGTGTTTAGAACATCAAAGTTGCGGTAGGAGGGGGGACTACTACATTATTGACTACTCTCTTTAGTGGCCCAATTTTCCAAATCCAAGCCAGTTTTTGACCATTAATTCCTCCGCGGGTTTCCACGAGATTTTTTGTCCACTTGAGCTGTTTTCTCCTCTGAACACGAATGCTACTTCCACTTCGCTCAGAACCGCCCGGCGCCCGCGCCAGAATAAAATCAATCTGGCTGAGAACTAGACTCAAGGGGTAATTGCACACCTGTATGTGAATAACCTTCTTTAATCTTATTTTTCTCGAACCGTCTGAACCCTAAGCTAAAAGCGCCGACACTAGACCGGCTCCCATCGATCGCACGTGTGGCGGGAGCCCAGGCGTTTGGTTCCAAGAGCAAGTTATATTCGTATTGGGGCGCTCAAACTATCCACAGGTGAGTTTCTGGCGATATCTATCCCCCTATGCCCACGGGGAATGCTTGGTCAGAATGCCCCGATTCATGAGCTGCATGGGGCAGTGGAGAGTGAGTAGTGCTGAAAAGAGTTATAGGTACGTTTCTGTTCCAGTTACCGCCGACGATGAGGGAAGAACGTGCAGATGATCGAAAACGTGACCAAGAAGGCTCATAAAAGATCGGCTCGGGAGGAAGAACAGAACGGGTGAGTTTTGGTGGCTTTTCTCTCTGTTCTAACAAGTCTCACTCTCCTGGGGTAACTATCGCTCTGGATTTATGTGAATTTTAACTAGATATTTAGACATTCGAAAGTTGCTCGAAAGGATCGTGAACAGATCGAGTCAAGATGTGAGCCAAAGTACCTTTCTTTGTGGATTTAGGTGTACCTTAACAAATTGTTACAGTATCCCGACCTTTATCACATGAGCGAAGAGGTCCTTCACCTACACGAGAAAAGGAGAGACGAGACGAGAAGAAAGATAGGCGGAAAGAGGAAAGAAGGTGAGCTCTGAGATTCCTGTTTGCTTTACAAGTAGTTTCCGGAGTGTAGGTATCGTTGAACTGGAATATTGTACATATTGATGTTTTTTTTAGTAAACCAGTGCGTAAATAGATGGATATAATCAGCAGCTACACTCCACTGTTTGTTACCTCAAAATGTTAAATGATTGACTGTTACGTGTTGTCCGTTGGTGAATATCTTAATAAAAATTGATTAGTCTGTATTTGCTGTATTTTATTGTTACGCTAATAGTTCTCCCATGTTTAGTAGACTGCAACAGCAAAAATCTCAAAATTTATTTATATTTCTATAGAAGCGTCTTTACACCGTCTTGCTGCGGAATGACCATGCGTAAAATGCTTCGGCAATTTCAATAATATTGCTTCTCAACAGAGATGGACAGAAAGATTCCCAAACTGTTTTGTGGAAGTGGAGCTTGATGTGTAAAGGATTCTGCTGCATGATAGGCCAGAATAGCGCGATGAGGTTGTAAAGGCTAAGGAGTACAAAGTAATGATGACTAAGGTGTAACTACGATTCATCTCCGGTATGGATTTAATTTCCTTTACTCATTTTGGGATGATGAGTGTAGGAAAATGCTATAAGGACACCCATTACGTGATATAGTTCAACGCCGCGTAGAATTCGCTGTGCCTGGATAGGTCTGCCCTTCAATGCTATTTAACGGTCAGGAAGAGGGTGGCCCACTGACCTAAACTGGTCCAAGAACCAAGGATAATACGAGATAGGGACTTATGTGATGCTACAGCTCCTATTCCCCACTGTTTGCTAACTCTGACA